GCTTGCTTTCTCACTATTTATTCACTCTCTCTCTCTCTCTCTCTCTCTCTCTCTCTCTCTCTTTCTCTCTCTGTGCCTCTCTCTCTGGCAAACGCATGTGCATTATAGCAAACAATAAGACTCTATTGAAGTTGTCTTTCTCTCTCTCACCTCACTCTTTGTTTTGCTTCTCTCTCATGAAAGAATTTTTCGTTTTTTTAATTAAAAGTTAAGAGGCCAGCAGTTGGTGTGGTGAAGACATTGGACACGGACAACTGAGGGTCGAGTTCTGGACCTGATGGCTTGAAACTCACACCAGGTGTGTGTGCATGCACACCCAAAATTCCAAGAGGAGAATAGAGGAGAAGGGATTGTGGCATGGTCACACCCCTGGGAAGTGATTTCTCCCTTTCCCTCTCTCTGTCTCCCTCTGTCTCTCTCCAGCGAAGGCACATGCCCTATACACAATTTTAAATAATTAAAGGGCCAACAGAAGGCTTGGAGGTGAAGACGCTGGATCCCACATGGCCAACACATATATACCCAGGCACCTGGTAGCATAAGCCCTTCTCTCTAACCCTCCCTTGGTCATCGCCCCAACAGGAAATACATTCTTTCTCCTAGATGTCTCAAAGACAGTCCCTGGGGTCCAGCAGGTGGCATGGTTGTTAAAGTGCTGGACTCCCACATGGCCAGCTGCAAGGTTCAACCCAGACCCAGCAGTTTGAAAATCATGCTAGGCATGTGTGCCTGTGTGCCCAAAATCCAGAGAGGAGAATGTAGGAGAAGGGATTGTGGTGTGGCCATCCTTCCTGGGAGTGATTTCCTCCACCCTCCCCCCAATGCCTCGCTTCCTTCTCTCTCTTCGTCTCTCGGGCATGAACACACACACTCAATGGTAAAAAAATAAATAAATAAATAAACAAACAAACAAACAGTCCTGCCCTGCCAGGACCTTCATCCCATCCCTCCCAGCAAACCTTCTCCACCCTCCAAACCTCCATGATCAAACAGTGTACGTCCCCCTGACCTGTTTGAAGCAGGCCTCCACAAGGTTGGGCGGAAACATATTTCTGCAAAAAAAAACATCAGAAGGAGGAATGTGGTCAGACCATGAACGGGCTTTAGCGGGACCATAGTTACTATAACAACAACAACAATGGCAGTTGGGATGGCAGATGATGTGGTGGATAAGGCGCTGGACTCCCACATGGCCAACCACAGTGGGAGTCCCAGACCTGCTGGCTTGCTTTCTCACTTTCCCACTTTCTCCCTCCCTGGTGAACATGTCCTACAGCAAATTAAAAACAATAATAATGGGACCAGCAGTTGGCGTAATGGCTATATCGCTGGACTCCCATGTAGTCGACCGTGGTTTGAGTCCCGGACCCCATGGCTTAAATTCACGCCAGGTGCGTGTGCATGCGTGCCCAAGATCCCGAGAGGACAACGGAGGAGAAGGGATTGCGGTGTGGCCATCGCCCCGGAGGGTGATTTGTCGCTTTCTGCCTCTCTGTCTGTCTGGCAAGCACATGTGCCCTATAGCAAAAACCTCTCAAAAAAAA